TTCTTTCGTTCTTTCTTTCTTTTTGTATTTTAGGGAAGCATCTACAGGGTGTTCAGGGTCTCACTGCTAGATCAGACTCGTAGTGATCTGCCTGTTTACAGCCTCCCAAGAGCTGGGATTACAGGCGAGCGCCACCACGCCCAGTCTCAATCTCCATCTCAGCGCACCCCCGGGGCAGGGCCGGTGCAGCAGGCAAGGGGATTGAACCCCCTGCTTGCTGGCACTTTAATCCGCTGAGCTATTTGGCCAGCCCCTTCTGCTTTTATTTTGACCTTGAACTTGCAATCCTCCTGTCTCAGCCTCCCCTGAAATCCAATGACAAGGCACCGAGACTGTTTTCAGGGTGGAATGCGCCCCACTCTGTTGGGTGTTTTTCAACCCACCTCTAATCACTGTGTAATGAATGACTCAAGCAACTCAGGGAGTGTATACACTGAGAGCTGGTCGGTCACAGTGTGAGGCCACTTTGCTGGGACCCTGGGTCTGCCATTTGCCAGCTGCCACGCGGGGGTCTGTGAGGTCACCAATTTGCACTGAATTTCCTTGTGCCGTGAAGTGCCAGAGAGTGTGGAGACAGCGTGTGGAGATGGCCCTTGTCATTATCCCGAGAGGAAGTCAGAGTGCGGCTGCCCTTTCCCCAGCCCCACAGCCCTCTGCTTCCACAAGGAGCAGCACTAAATAGTCTATTTTGTTTTGTTTTTTGAGACAGAGTCTCGCTATGCAGGTCAGGCTGGTCCTAAACTCACTCTGTAGCCCAGGCTGGCCTTGAACTCCCAGCGACCAAATCCAAAGCCTTGAGCATGCTGCGTGGGTACTCCAGCACTGAACTACATCCCCAGCAGTAAATAAACTCTTCTCTAATTTTCCTTGGTTTTTACTTTTGTTTTTGGTAGAACTAGGGATTGAACTCAGGACCTTGTGCTAGCCAGGCAAGCGCTTATTCTACCGAGCTATCTCCCAGCCCTGGGTTTTACTTTTAACCTTGTGTCTTAAACAACTGAAGTAGTAGACATAGATTTTCTCATTTCTTCAGCGTCTGCTCAGTACCTGATAAGACTCAGCTGTACTTTATTTAACCACGCTCCGATTGCTTGTCCCAGTGGGACAGCAATGGGCGGCAGGCCCCGCGGTCACCTTCGGCGGGGCCAGGAGGGGCCGAGAGCTACGTGCCGTGAAATCCTAGGCGCGGGGCTGCCAGGTGAAGGGTGCGTGTCAGCCGCCATCTGCGCTCCGCTGCTGCCGGGCCAGGCCGCCCCCACGCGGTCACCAACCTGTAGGCGCCAGCCGCCTCGCACACAGCCTGTCACTAACGAAATTGATGCCACCAACACCAGTAAAAAAAAATGCTGTCACACTGCTTCAGTTGCAGGGGTTCGTATCCCTGGCCCTGCTCTAAGTGTTTTCTTCTGGGTGTCACTTGACTATTAATTTTGTTTGGGGGGATTTTTTTGGTGCTGGGAATCCAACTAGTCCCTTGTGCTTGCCAGGAAGGTGCCATACCACTGAGCTGGCTGCCTGGCCCCTTGGCTGTTAATTTTGCCAGAGGAAAGTTTTTAGGTCCTGGGGTAGTTAATTTTTTTTTTTAATTTTTTTACTTTACAACTCAAATATTTCTCTTAATCCTTTGAAAAAAATTTTAATGATGAATAGTTCTCATTAGATTACTTAGGATTTTTTTTTTTCCTATGCTGCTGGGGATCTACCCCAACCCTCCTGGCGTTTTGGAGATGGGGGTCACTCTTTCTATAGTTCAAGCTGGTCTTTTTTTTTTTTTTTTATTTTTTATTTATGTGTGTGTGTGTGTGTGTGTGTGGCCAGCTCAGCCCACCAGGGGGCAGGGCTGGCTGGCATGTGGTGCTGGGGATTGAACTGTGGTCCCTCTGCTTTGCTAAACTTGTTCTAAGTAGCCACTGAGCCATCTCAGCAGCCCCTCAAGCTGGTCTTGAACTCACTATGTAGCCCAGGTTGGCCTCAATTCTGTGGTAGCCAAGACTGGCCTCAAACGCACAATCCTCTCCACTTCTGCTTGATTCCGTGTGTGCACCCACATGCCTGGCTCTCTTGGCATCTCTGAATAATAGTAATAAAAAAGCAAGCCAGCACAGACTTGTCCGTTTTGGTGCTGGCCTGCTTCCAGGGTCCCAAACATCATGTGCTCTGCTCGCTTGCCGGATTCTCTAACCCTGGTAGATCTTTTTAAGACACCCCCCACTCCACCCCCGCGCCGCAAAAAAGAAAAATCAGTGCAGAGAAGGATACACATATGAGACTCAAGTCAAGCACCGATGTGGTGCATGCTTGTAGTCCCAGCACTTGGGAGTCGGACGCAGGAGGATCGCTTCAGGTGCAAGGCCAGCCTGAGCTGCCGAGCGAGACCCTGGCCTGAACCCCTTGGCACCTGCGGCCTTGTAGGAGGCCCTCCAGCTGTGGGGAGTGGCTCCCATCACTCTGTAAAACTGTTCTTAAAGTCGGAGCTGGTTGTTTGAAAGTAGCTGTTCAGAAAGAGCAGGCGCCCCCCGGGGTTGGTCTTAGGAGACTTGACCCCAGTGTTCTTCCTGAGGGCCCCTTGACTCCCTGTTGGTGGGGGGTGACAGGAGCGACTCCATTCTGTGCAATGATTTTCACACTGAGATTAGGGAAGCAAGGGCAGTCACTCCCAGTAGTCGTTTTGGAAGCTACTTGGCCAGCTCTGTGGTCGGACATTTGTGTCCGAACACGGCCATGACTGTGGAGGGTTCTTGTCTGTGTGTCGCTCATGGTCACGGAGAGGCCTGTGGGGTGTCTATGAAATCATTCATGTTCCATAGCACAACACCAGGTCCTTCTGGGACAGGTCAGTTCCTGGCTGTCAGGGCTACTTTTACAACGTGGAGGCTGGGATTTGCTTTAAAAGTAATGTCCCAGGGGCTGGTGAGATGGCTCAGTGGTCTAAAGCACCTACTTAGAACAAGTTTAGCAAAGAACGTAGACTGCGGTTCAAACCCCCGCACCACATGCCAGCCAGCCCCGCCCCCAGGCGGGCTGAGCTGGCCACACCCACACGCACCCCCCCCCACAGATAAATAAATAAATAAATAAATAAGTAATGTCCCAGTTGGGTTTCTGCAGACTAAGTTAAAAAAGAAATTAATTTATTTCAGTTCACCTTTCTCAAATGCTGCCCGGTCGATGGATGGGTTTCTTGCTCGCAGTATCCTCAGGGGTCACAGGGTGTCGCCTGGCAGGAGACAGGGAGCACATGTGTGTCTGCGTCCCCTGGTCTCGTTGTCCCCATCGCCACCCCAGGGTGGGGCCCCATATCTTGGACTCAGCCTCGCCCCAATCTCCAAAATGAGGTACAGCAAAGGCTTAAATAAAAGAGACAAGTAATAGGATTTGGGGGGGTGAGGAAGATCAAATCTCTCTGGGATTTGCTTGAAAAATAATGTCCCAGTTGGGTTGCTGAAGAGCGTGGCGGGGTGCAGCTTAGCCCTTACACAGCTTGGTCTCCAGCAGCCCCAGCCTGGTGACCCCACTGGACCTCAGCTCTGCCAAAGGCCCTGCCTCTAAGCACCTGGGTCAGATTGGTTCCACCCATTCATGCCTCCCAGTAGGGGTTCAACTGCAAGTGAGCTCAAACCATATCCGTAGTAGAGGGCTTGGGCAGGTGAAATGGCAGCCGCCGTGAGCTGACTGTCATTGGAGGCGGGTGACGGGCACAGCAGAGGGGTTCCTGCATGGCTTTATGTGTGTCAGATTGAAAATATTCCAAAAGAAAAAAATTAAAATAAAGCCAAGCACAGTGACGCATATTTGTAATCCCAGCACTCGGGAGGCTGAGACAGGAGACCACAGTGGGTTCAAGGCCAGCCTGGGTTGTATAGCAAGACTGGGTCTCAAAAATCTATCCATCGATCAATCAATCAATCAATCAAAATAATGATCTAAACAAGCCATTGACACAGGGTTTGCTCATAGAACTTGGAGCTCTGTTCCTATTTCCAAGTCTGCCTCGTCTCTTTTCTTTTCTTGAAACAGGGTCTTAGATTGTAACTCAGGTTGGCCTTGAACCAACTATAGCCAGGCTGTCCTTGGAATTTGCAGAAATCTTCCTGCCTCAGCCTCCCAAGTGCTGGGATCACAGGCATGCATCACCATGCTGGGCTGGCCTAGCCGGCGTTAATGGATCCTGCTACAGATTCTCCCTGGCCAGACTGTCGCCCACCCGAGAAACAGGCAGCCTCTGAGCTGGTTGGTACTGATGGATTTTCACGTGTTGTTTTCCAGAATTCCCTTCTCCGAGTCTGAATTCAAGCACCCACCCGATTGCAATGGGCCAAAACGTGTCTCTGCTTTGTTCCCACGAGAACAAGTCACTGAGTATCACCTACTCATTATTTTTGAATACGACACACTTGAAAACCAAGAAAGGAGAAGGCGACCCTGTGATTTTTAACCTGCCAATCTCCAAAGCCAGCGACCTAGGCCCTTACAAGTGCAAAGCTCAAGTCAATAACTGCTCAAAATACAGTCCCGCGTTCTACTTCAGCGTGGAGGGTGAGTAGAGTGCGTGCTGCTGCTCGGGGCCGCAGGACTTGCGGGGTCCTTTTCCACGGCCTGGGGGCTGTCTGTGCCTCTGGCACATACTCAGAAGCCCGGTGTCTGTCAGCTTTTGTCACCCTGACCAATACCTGGGAAGACTACGTGAAGAAAATGAATGATTTATCTTATTTTAGCTTTTGTCTTTTTGAGACGGGATCTCACTGTGCAGCTCAGGCTGGCCTTGAGCTCACTTTGTAGCCCAGGCTGGTCTCCAACTCACAAAGATCCTCCTGCCTCAGCCTGTACTACCACACCTAGCCTTTTATTTTAGTTTAGGTTTTTTTTTTGGTGGGGGGGGGAACCGGGGATTGAACTCAGGGACTTACTCTACTGAGCCATCTCCCCGGCCCTTATTTTAGTTGGTTTACAAGTTTCAGGTTAGACTGGGCGTGGTGTAATCCCAGCTCTTGGGAGGCTGTAAACAGGTGGACCACCAGGAGTCCAGCCTAGTAGTGAGACCCTGAACACCCTGCAGCCCCTTCTCTAAAATACAAAAAAAAAAAAGGTTATCAAAAGTTTCGGGCCGTGGCCAGCTGCTCGGCTGCTCTCAGGCCTTGGGCGGGGGAGACCTGGGGAGCAGGGGCCTGCTAGGCGGGCGGGCGCTGCTCCCTTTGGGGCAGCCGAGGCGGGCTGGGGACCCGCCCCCCAAGCCGAGCCTGCCTTCCGCCTGCTCCCTCGCCCCCCCCCCTCGCCCCCCGCCGCGGCTTCTGCTCCCGCGACCTCCCGCGCTGCCCGCTGTGGCGCCATCGGGTGACTGCCATCTGATCAGCTGCGGAGGAGCGCACGAGGCCCCTGGGGACAGCTGAGATCTGATGATGGCGAAGCTGGAAAGCTTGTCACCCAGATCTTGGTTTAATAATTCCATTCCGCTTCCTCTTTCTTAGGCTTTTGGAGTATTTCCGATCACCGTCGTAGCTCTCTAGGCAGAACTCAGAACTCCAGAGTAAAATTGTTGCAGGCTTTCTAAATGCTTTGTTGTGTGATGCCCATCCTTTAGCCAAAAATAGAAGACTTTTTCCAAGGCCTGCCCCTTCCCACCCTCTTCCGCCCGCCCGCCCGCCCGCCCGCAGTCAGGTGCCTCCCTCCCCCGCGTTCTTCCTGCCCAAGCGCATCTTATCAGCTCTGCCGTTTTCTCTGCTATCTTTCCACCCAAGAGTCTGATAGGCCAACTTCGATGGCCTCATCTTTGGAGGTGGCCTTGATAATGGGCCCCTGTGGGACAGAGGTGGGAACCCTGCAGTCTTGTAGACCAGAGGACTGTCACTTCCCGATCACCTCTGAGTGAGTCTCTGTGTCTCGCCTGTCCAGCGTGGGAGCCATGAGCCATATGTCACTTTTTAAATTCAAGTTAATTGGGGCCGGGAAGATGGCTCAGTAGAATAAAGTCCTGAGTTCAATCCCCGGTACCGCCAAAAAAAAAAGTATCCACCTCACAAATTAAAATTAATGAAGTAAAGAGTGGCATTCCATGGTCTTGTGAGCCACATTCCTGTGACTCAAAAGTCACAGGTGGCGGGTGGGCGCCTGGGAGTTGAATTCAGGACTTGGAGCGTGCCAGGCAGGCTCTGTGCCACTGAGTTTTCTCCCTGGCCCCGATTCTTAACTTTAAGGTCTTAACTGTCTTAATAACCTAATGGCAGTTAATTGATACTTTCCCCCCAGAAATGCTCACAAGATTATGGGTATATATGTGTTTCTGTGGGGAGAAATTGTCCCAGAAGGCTTAGACGGTGCGATGGGTTCTGAGTAGCGCCCACACTCTTCTGGCCTAGAAGGCGTATGTCAAAGGCAGATGCAGCGGAGCGAGGAGCCAGACACAGTACCAGGAAGGGGTGGGTGACACGAGGGCACTAACAATATGCTCGAGCGGAATATGGTGGGCAGCGAATACGTGAAGGTGGATGGTTTCTGTGCCAGACCCCCTCCATGCGGGTGACCCACGTCGCCCCGTCGGCCTGGTTGGTCGGCTGGTAGCTGTCAAGTGCCTTCGAGGTACAAGCCGTGGTGCCCCTGAGATTCCAGGGCTGTGGGAGGCGTGCGCGTGCCCCCAGCCCGGAAGGACTGAGGGTAGAAGCCGTAACGCAGATTCGCTGATCGCCGTGCCAGGCAGCGTGTGTATGAGAAGACGCAGCTAGGCCAAGCCCTGGGCGTCCAGTACTTTCTGTCCTTGTGGAGCTTACAGTCTAGCAGGGAGAGACACGAAGCTCTGCTCCCAGACAGATAAATCCCAGGCTGTGCTGGATGTTGTGAGCGGAAGGAACGGGGTGCAGTGACAGAGGAAGACCTCGTGGCCAGCGTCCGAGAGAGGCTTCCTGGGGGCTGACACTGAGGCCGAGGCCTGCAGGGTGAGGAGCTAGCTGAGGGAAGGCGCAGGGCAAGGGGCTCTGGTCAGTACTCACTCGGGGTGGCCCCGGAGGGTGCCAGGCCCTGCAGGGACCAGGGTGGGCTGAAGGGCACACAAGGCGGGCTCGTGTGGGTGGAGGTGACCCGTGTGAGGTTGGGGAAGGATGGGCCAAGTTTTGGGAGGCCTGGGGCCACGGGAAGAGTTTTGAGTTGTGATTGTTTGGGGCTACAGAGGAGTATTAGAATTCAATTTTTCATCCTTGAAGTTAATTCATTCAAGGGTGGATGGGTCACGGGGACACAAGAACAAGGTAAGTGTTGTTTGTGGGGCTTCTGTGTGCCAGGAATCGAACTCAGGACTTCGTCCTTGCCAGGCAAGTGCTCGGGCCACTGAGCTGTATCCCCAGCCCTGAGGTAGGTGCTGAGAGGCTCTTGCATTCATCCGAGACAAACGCCACCGTGGACGCGGGATGGACAGATACAAATGGATTGAACAAATATCGGAGAGGGAAAACCTGCAGGATTTGCTGGCCAAGTAGGGACGGGGCCAGCAGCAGTAAAGGGAAGGAAAGAACCCACAATGTCCAGGCCCTAATTTATTTATTTATTTTTGTTGTTGTTATTTTGTGCGGAACCAGGGATGGAACCCAGGCCCTTGCGCTTGCCAGGGAAGCGCTTATTCCACTGAGCCACCTCCCCGGGCCCAGGCCCTAATTTAATGAGTGCTCGCCGCTCCGGTGGAGGAAAGGAAAAGAGCAAAGTTTTATTTTATATTTTTATTTCTTTATTTTTTTGTCTTTTTGAGACAGGGGCTTGCTGTGCAGGTCAGGCCGGCCTCGCGCTCACTTTGTAGCCCAGGCTGGCTTTGACCTCACGCCGATCCTTGTGCCTGAGCCTCCGGAGCGCTGGGATCACATGCCGGGCAGGGACAAGCTCTCCGACTGTGCTTTCTGCCTTCCTCGTGACGACTCATTAACTAGGAGATGAACTGGAGTTCCGTTTGCAGCACCCAAGCGCGGGGCGTGCCGAGAGGCGACGGTGTCCTGCGGGCGCAGGAGGGCACTTCTGCGGGCGCGTGTGGGAGGGCCTGGCGGGAGAGCGGCCAGAGGAGAGCAGAGGGCGCCGCGCTTGGCGTCGCGTGTCCCTCGCAGCTTCTCTCTCTGTCACCTGCCTGTCTCCCGTCTATCTCTGCCTTTCCGGTGGGCGCGCTGGAGGGCTGGAACTCACCGCGGTTTCCTCCGCAGATTATCTGGATGTGTGCGGCCGCAGCCAGCCTGTCCAGCCCTGCAGAGCGCGCCTGCTCCTCGCTGCCTCTTCGCCAATCTTCCAGTTTCTCTCGCTTGCAGGTCACTGTGGTGGAACTCCCTCCTGGCAGGACGTCCCACTGGTGCTGGGCTCAAACCGCGCTGGCCCTGGGGCTGCCTTGTCTGGGGGCCACTTTTTTTTTTTGTTTGTTTTGCATTTATTTATTGTGTGTGTGTGGCCAGCTCAGCCCACCAGGGGGCGGGGCTGGCTGGCACGTGGTGCTGGGGGATCGAACCGCTGTCCCCAAGCTTGTTCCAAGTAGGTGCTTTAGACCACTGAGCCATCTCTCCAGCCCCTGGGTGCCACTTTGTCAAGAGCATTGTCACAGGAGGGCTGGGGGAATGGCTCAGTAGACTAAGCGCTTGCCTGGCAAGCGCAAGGGCCTGAGTTCTATCTCCAGTCCCGCAAAAACAAGAATATTGTCGCAGGGATTCCCATTGAAGAGAACTAGGGAGCAAGGAGGTTCTCAGTTATTTTCTTTGAATTTACTTTATTTTGGCCCCCTTATTTTACTGTTTCTGTAGCAAACTATTATTGTTTCAAAAAAAAAAAATCATGGATTCCGGAATCAGTCTCAACTGCCTTTCATTTTTAAATAAGTCCCATTAAGTCATTATGATGTTCCTGCTGGGCCCAAACTGGAGATCCTCCTGCCTCAGCCTCCCGTAGTCCCAGGGTTACAAACCATCATGCACCTGGCAGGGGCCGGTTTTCGTTCTGTTTTGTTCTTAGTTTTCTTACACAGGGTTTTCTGTGTGAGTCAGGCTGGTCCTAAACTTATTGTGTAGTTTGAACTCATAGTGATCCTCCTGCCTCCATCTCTGGAGTGCTGGGATTACAGACATTCGCCACTATGTAGGCCCTGCCAGGGGCAGCTTTTTTTGACTTCCTGGAGCTCGGCTGCTCATCTCTGGAGTGGGCAGATACTACAACCTTTGCAGCATTGTTGTCAAGGTCGATGAGCGCGTGTGAGGAGCAGGCCTGGCGTCCCTCTGCCGTGTGCCTCCGGCGGCGGAGCATGCTACACTCCGGCGCTGCTGGGTAGTGCTTCCATGGAGCCTGGCTAGTGGGGCTACTTCTGCTTTTTTGGAGGAAGTGCAAGGTAGTTGTGCAGCTGAATTCTATAAATGAAAAAACAGTTAGAGACAAGCATATTTTTGGATCGAGAATAAAAGCAACTCTTAACCGCAGAATTGGTACCGGATGATTTCAAAATCGTGCTCATTACCAAGAACAAAGGCCTTTGCTGTGAGGCGCAAGGCGAAGAGTCCGGGCGCTGGGCTTCTCGTTTTCACCCGGTAGACAGC